CCCCAAAACCCCAAAACCCCAAAACCCCTTAGGAAAGAATAATACTATTTAATCTAAAATATTAAAGAAAAAATAATTAAATAAAAATGAAGAAATTTTTAACTTTTTTGATTACTTTCACTTTTTGCATTCTCTTCACCACTTATGTTAGAAGTGGAGCAGATGAAGAGTTTTTTAGAGATTACTTTTAAGGTGAAGACAGATTCCATGTTCAAAAAATATTATTCCTAATTAACTACCACAACTTCTGTGTACTACCAAGAGTTTCTCTAGCCACATATTAATTCTTCTAGGCTTTCTATAGATAATTGGGTGTGGATAAGGTGGAAAGCGAGAAGACTCTATTTAACGATACTTTCCTTTTAAATCGTACATTTGAATATGATCCCTCACACTATCGCATACCTTTGAAGTCTCATCGAGTCTGGATAACATCTTAATATAATCCAAGAGAGATGGTAGATGTGCTTGTAAATTAAACACTCTAGGAGAAACTTAATAGTACTAATAAGGTACTTGATGAATCTGCAATTACAGATGAAGCAGTAAGAGATGGCTCAAATAAATGGACTCATTATTTCTGGGTTAACGATAAAAGCTTGGTGCCTAAATCAGTTAAGTTTATGGAATCTATTGGCTATGTAGTAAGGGAACTAAAGGAATTATAGATATTCGATGGAGTTTTACTAGAAGCACTAAATTATTATCAAGATACTGACAGAGTAGGAGCAGCAGCTGACTTTGTAAGAATGGCCATAAACTATGAAGAAGGAGGATTTTACATAGACTTGGATTTCTATTTGGATAAATGGGATATTTAAATTCATAAGTATTTTGACTTCTTTGGATTTAGATGTGTTGAGTTCAATAATCATTACACCTTATTTACCTGGGGATTCTTATCAAAACCAGCGCATTATATACACAAAATTTACCTAGATTTGTTCAAGAAGAATTATTTGCTGTAAAAGCAAGGAAATTTAGTGAAGAAGCCAATTCATTTAATGTAATGCCATATTATAAGCAGAGGTTCAACGCTGTTTGACACTGGCCCTTATTTTTACGATGCTGCCTACATTAGAACTTTTGAAGACAAGATGAATGACTAGATTTTTGTGATCCCAGATATCTCCTATGAAATCGACACTGTTAAAAACATTACTTTTAATAATGGATCTAATATCACATTAAGAATTTCCGGTCTACAACTTGGCTAAGGGTCATGGGCAAGTGATTATCTAGATGCGACAAGATTCGGGTGGCCTGAACTGCAAAGGTTTCCAGATGAGGAATTATGAATATAAGATGCAAATAGATTATAAGTTGTCATAATTAAATTAGATCCTTCTTAATTTCATTTACTTAAGAAATTAGTTAAGAGGGGTTTTGGGGTTTTGGGGTTTTGGGG